CCTGAGGGAAACATCAGATTCTTAGTTCAAACACACCTTTGTAAAAAGGTGCAAATGATACCTAATGTATCAGTTAATAAGACTAAGTTTGATACTTGCACGTCTCGTCTGTCTGAAAGAAAGGCTTGATGCAGTCCAACGGTTCAAGTTGATCTTTGCTGAAGTTGGTTGATGAGAAAGAACCAGTTTGCGTCAGAGAATCTTGGTGAATGGAAAAGTCAAGGCCGAAGCCTGGCACGTACTTAGGGTTTCCTGGAGCGTTTGCTCACGTCTTCATCTTCTCAGAATTCAACCAAACCACCGACTCTGGGGCGGGTCACTGATGTGAGGCTTTTAAGGTCTGAGAAGATTCACGCCTCTTAAGATGGGCTTGTCCAATGAGAAAGGCCGGTATCCCAGGTGGGAGTTTTGAGATACTGGGGAGTTTTTATGACCCTTTGTGTGAAAGCATGGTAATTTGCATATGGAACTTGAATCGAAATTACTAAAGATTCTCAGGACACTAATATATTGCCTATGTACCAACATATAATATACACTCTCGTTTAGATCATCAGAAGACTAATTCATAGATACTAAACATGGTAGGGTTATATATATGCAGGATGACAGGAATGAGTGTTTTGATCATAAGCCTGCATAAATACAAGATACAAGACAGCAATAATATACACAATGACCTGAAGGATATGTGTGTTCATTCACAGAAAGGTTTTTCTATGAATTAATTATACAAGAGTATAATTTAATTCATAAATTATATTTTGCTGTGCATTATGTGTCTTTCCTATGGAAAATGTAGTGAGAGGGAGAACTCTCAACATGCCATTAGGTCGTAAAGTCTATCTGGTCTAGCAAAGGTGTCATGGTTGCCATGGTAACCAGGGTCCTGGGCCTCATTCACAGACATCTTGGCACCCAGTATGTTTATTGGGTGAGGGGTCTGTGAATGTTTGTTAATCTAATGAATAATTGATTTGTTAAATCAAATGAAAAATGGTGTGTCTGATTGGTCCAGACGCTACAACGCTAATTTACATTTCCAGAATAGAAATCTGAACACTGGATTAAGCCAGGTTCAGAATTATTCTTTTATTTTGCTGACATATTAGAGTTAACCGGAGTTTAATGCATTTAAGTGCTACTGAAGTGGACATTTCTTTCTGCCTCATGAAGTCATTACACATCCTACCACTATATTAGCAGAGATAAGTCCATTTTAAAAGACTTGTTCTTTACAGAATGGGTTTATCTAGTTGATCTAGTACATCAAATCAAAACTGCAAACTGAAATCATTGGTATACTATTAAGAAAGTAAAGTGCTTAAATATCTTGCCAATCACCCTTGTGTTTCTGCAGTCATTGCTGAATGTTGTTTTATATTATTTTTAAGCCATATTTTGTATTTTTACAAGAGTATAGTAACCTAGGGATGTTCCCCTTCAGGAACTCGATCTGCTTCAAAACGCTTTGGGAACTAGAATACCAACTCCGCCATATTGATGAATTCCTGTCTCGTGTGAAGTCAATGCGCACATATCAAGACAGAAGCACTCTCAAGCCCGGAGTGGTGCCCAAATCTAGGTTATAAAACCTGACAAAGGTGAGCGGGGTAGACCAACCCACAGCCTCACAAACATTGTGTAGAGACATGCCAGATAAGAAGGCCTTTGAGGCCGCCATACTTTGGGTTGAGTGGGCCCAGACCCCCAAAGGTGACGGGACGTCAGAGGACTCAAGCCAGGGAGGTAGCCTCGACTATCCACCTGCTCAGTGTCTGCTTGGTTGCCAGGAGACCCATTTAGGGGGACCAAAGCAAACAAAAATTTAATCAAATTTTCGCCAAAGGGCAGCTCTGTGGACATAGGTGTCCAGTGCTCGAACTGGACACATTAGGTTAAGCTATTCCTGGTCTGGGTCCCAGAAGGGAGGAGGACAGAAAGCCTGAAGCACTAAGGGCAGTGGAACCTGGGTAGGCACCTTCGGCACATAACCAGGCCTCTGGTGCAGAAATGCTTTGAACATCCCAGGTGCAAAGCCTAAACATGATGGGGCAACTGAAAGGGCCTGACGATCCCCAAATTTCGAGTACATCGGGTATTATGGGAAGTGTTCTCGGTTCTGGTTGACCTAATTAATACAGCCTAACAATCCTTTAACAGATTTGAATTATAGAAATGCGATAGTGTATTATGTGTATGCCAAGTTAAAGAGATGGGTCTTTAATCTAGATTTAAACAGACAGAGTGTGTCTGCATCCCGGACAACGCTATGTAGATTATTCCAGAGTTTGGGTGCTAAATAGGAAAAGGATCTGCCGCCTGCAGTTGATTTTGATATTCTAGGTATTACCAAATGGCCAGAGTTTTGAGATCGCAGCGGACGTGAAGGACTATAATGTGATATAAGCTCACTCAAGTATTGAAGAGCTAAACCATTCAGGGCTTTATATACGTAATTAGCAAGACATTGAGAGCATAGGTCGTAATTTAGATATATTTTTGAGATGGAAAAATGCAGTTTTACAAATGCTAGAACCATGGTTTTCAAAGGAAAGATTAATATCAAATAGCAACACCTAGGCTCCTAACTGATGACGAATAATTAACAGAGCAGCCATCAAGTGTTAGACAGTGTTTTAGGTTATTACATGCAGAGGTTTTTGGACCAATAATTAAAACCTTTTTTTCAGAATTTAGCAGTAGGAAATTACTAGTCATCCAGTTTTTTAAATCAACTATGCATTCTGTTAGTTTTGCAAATTTGTAGATTTCATCAGGCCGTGAAGAAATATAGAGCTGAGTATCAGCATAACAGTGAAAGCTAACACCATGTTTCTTGATGATATCTCCCAAGGGTAACATGTAAATTGTGAAAAGCAACAGTCCTAGTACTGAGCCTTGTGGCATTGCATACTGTACTTGTGAATGATATGATATCTCATAATTTACTGCTACAAATTGATGATGGTCAGATAAGTAAGATTTGAACCATGCCAATGCAATTATACTAATGCCAGCATAATTTTGAAGTCTACTCAAAATAATGTGGTGGTTGATAGTGTCAAATGCTGCACTAAGATCCAGTTGCACTAATAGAGAAATACAACCACGATCAGATGATAAGAGCAGGCCATTTGCAAATCTGATGAGAGCAGTCTCTGTACTATGATACGGTCTAAATCGTGACTGGAAATCCTCAGAGATACCATTTCTCTCTAAGAAGGAACATAGCTGAGAGAATATTGCCTTTTCTAGTATTTTTGACAGAAGAGGGAAATTTGAGATCGGTCTGTAATTAACTAATTCTCTAGAATCAAGTTGTTGTTTTTTAATGAAAGGCTTAATAACAGCCAATTTGAAGGTTTTAGGGACATATCCTAAAGACATTGATGAATTAATAATATTCAAAAGAGGATCTATGACTTCTGGAAGCAC